GTCATCATCATCTGACTGACAAAGTAGGTTTTTGTTTATATTTTTTATAGATCTTTATGTTCTTTGTTTATATAGTTTTTTATCCATTTCAAAATTTAAAATTTTGTTATAACCAGTTCAAGAAGTTAAATTGAGTGATTTGGGTTTTACGCTGCTTATTATTGTAGCAATATTCCAGCAACATCACAGCAACATTACAGCAACATCACAGCAACATCACAGCAGTATCACAGCAGGGGACATGGAACCCGGGTATTTGATGTGATGAGTGAACGCTTTACCAGTAGGCTACCCCACCGCCCCTGTAAGGCTTGAAGTCAATAAAGAATCAGGCCTACTAGTTGGCATGGGTCAAATCCCCCTTAAAATATAACTGTCTATTTGAAGGAAATGTATTTTTTTTATGAGCAATTAATGGTGATAATTCTTTTAACTAGTTAATGCTTCGGTATTGTGCATTGTCAAAGATGCGAGTCCAGATTAACTTTTATTGCTCAAGTCAAGAGGGTAACAGTTTATGACACGGGTAATAAACTGTGTACTGAAGGGTGCGGTGTATATCATGTGTTATCACACTGATGAGGCTGTCAGGGAGACTGGGATGCCAGGTACATTTCACTATGCAGGGAGATACAAGGATATTGGCATTAGTGCCAACAGTCTGCTCAGTGTAAAGATATGCTTAATGAATATAGGCAGTGTGTGGATACCAGATTGACTTGCACAAGTCTTTAAGGTAATAATAATTAGTTTAAATCATAATTTCTGGATTAAGTAAATAATAAGAACAAGTTGTCCCTATAAGAGACTGGAGTCCTTATTGTCCACATATCTAGACTTGCCTATTAGGAGGATAGAATGACTACACATCCATGGACTTTTCTTTCAGTACAGCCTTGGAGCAAGGCTAGGTGTCAGTGTGTAGTCACAACTTAAAATGGACAGAAAGGATTACTTCTCCTGTAAATACTCTTGAAATGTTGCATGTATGTTTATGTCAATTGATTTTGTGTATGTCTACAAAATTACCTCTGTTCCGTAATGGAATGTTTCTTGCAATAAATATGTCTTATCTTATCTAGGGAACATTGTAACCTGACAATACAGTAGGAGTTTGGGAGGATCTTTTGTTAAGTTACAGTGGATGCTCTTTTCTTACACTTCTATTATTGAAAACCTATATTTCATGGCTATTTGGGTGGTTTTATACATTTGTATTTTTAGAATGAAATTAAGACGTCAATGAAGACAAATTGACTTCTGGATTTCCACAAAATGACGTTAAGATCCATAAGGCAGTGCTTGTGCTAATGTTTTGTTGCGAACACTTCCCAGACACCACCAACAATATCTCCTGCAGAGCCTGACTGGGTTGGATGGGAAACAGCTTGCTCTGTGAAGTCAGCTTCTTGAAAACATAACATGCCCAACTCACCTCAGTACGTTTCAGTGTTTTGTTCACAAAAATCTGCATTCCTAATGGCTGCCTCTGGATCTGTTCCAGTTTGGTTACCTCATCAGACATTCCGGTGTAGATAGTGAACAAATTACTGTATACCTGCCCCGTTATTGTGTATGGCAGCCAATGGGAGGGGATTTTACTGTTTCACTAATCTTAGTGGATAATAATCAAAATGACAAAAACCTTTCCATTTTCATAAGAAATCTCTGCCCAAAACAGAATCGATTGTACGATTCCGACTATATCATGAGCATGTGTTTATGAATCACTATCAAATAATAATAATACCAGGTGTTTGTGAAAAGGTGAATATCTAAATCATATTTCGTCCAGGTCTGGTTGTCTTTGTACGTTTTTGGTTTCTAGGCGCCATTGTCCCTACAGGAAGTATTCTTGCAGTTTGATGTGTGTTTTTTGTATGGAGGAATTACAGTGTACAGGGTTCATATTTCCTAGTTCTCAGATATCAAACTATGTTGTTTCATGGCTTCCTCTGATGTGAAACTTGTAATTACAAATCATATTAAGTACAGTCGGAGAATGTTGTTTTATGTACATAAATAGTTATGAGTTTCAAATCGGTTTCTTTTTAAAAATTATCCAATGGTTCCTTGTGCAGATATTGTGGTTTTGAAGTCTGATATGGATTTCTGGTTTCTATTTTTGATCCAAAGGAACCATGCTGTAGTTCTTGTTCCCTGTTTTGAGACAGTTGTGTGCTCCCATCACTGACACTCATTCACAATCTGGCCAGATGTTGAAGTTTCAGTTTTAATGAATCTCATTCAGGAAATGAGAAACCGTTTAAATACGTTTTTATTAGAAATTGAGAAGTTGAATATGGATGGTCATCAGTGCAGTGAGGTCCTGCCCTGCGATTGAGACACGACAATGCAAGATAAACGATGTTTCAGATTGAATGCCTCGTAGCGAGCTGAGATCTGTCTTCTTGGATGAGAAGTATTTTGTAAAAAAGGAATTTCAATTGAATTAAATCTAATTTGATCCATCATCCTGTATGAAGAATCTCTTAAATTATTTCGATTAAATTTGAACTTAAGTTTATTCAATTTGGGGCAATTAGAATTTGATAAACGGGGCCATGTTTCATTCAGTGTTCTTAATCATTGAATTAAGATGCAGCATTTCCAATAAATTAGTCTGCTCAAATGAGGGTGAAAGTAAAGTAAATCCAGGCCTGGAAAATGAAACAGTATGTCCATGTGGTATCAATCAGAGTCGGAAGAGATAAACTGGAAAAACTTGCTGGCTGTAAGGGAACTAGCCTTGCTCCAAGGCTGTACTGAAAGAAAAGTCCATGGATGTGTAGTAATTCTAACCTCCTAATAGGCAAGTCTAGATATGTGGACAGTACATCTAAGGACCCCAGTCTCTTACAGGGACAACTTGTTCTTATTATTTACATAATCTAGAAATTATGATTGAAGCTAATAATTATTGCCGTAGAGACATGTGCAAGTCTACCTTCTGGTAAGTTAAAGAATATGCATGCTTGTGACACTGACTTCTGAGGTGTGAGACCCTGGCAGGCAGAGCCTATCAGAGACCAGATTGAATTAAATTTTGGATGAGATTTGGGTTACTGTAAGGCAGATACGTTTGTGCTGATGGTTTACAAGGTGAATCACCGGAGAGAGTCAGAAGCAGTGGTGGACATAAAATGTGTAGATGGTGATAATAAGATAATAATATGAGAAAGAATTGTTTTATTAATAATATCCACTTATAAACAGCACAAGACTCCACAGGCTTCAGAGAGGTATTCTCAAAGCACTTGACATAATTACCCCTGTCTTCATAATGGATGAGTGTGCATTCCAATATATTCTCAGCTCCCTTGGGAGTATACATATCCATATTCTTCTGTTCCGTTCATCATGTACATTCATTCATTCCATCTTCCCAATACAGACAGCCACATACCAGTGATACTATATCAACACGTGAACACAAGTCAGCCAACAGCTACATTGTTATTGTTGCTGTATGGACTACAGCCATGTCCTGTTTACACCCAAACATGACACACCAGCTCTCGCTGCTACCGACAGTATCAGACCTGACACTATGTGCTGTGTACTTGTTTGTTGTTTTAAGCCGCACTCAGCAATATTCCAGCTATGTGACGGCGATCTGTAAATAATCAAATGTGGACCAGACAATCCAGTGATTGACATCATGAGCATCGATCCACACAATTGGGATACGATGACATGCATCAACCAAGTCGGTGAGCCTGACCACTTGATCCCATCTTGCGACAAGCATAGCGCCTCTTACAGCAGGCATGGTTTGCTGAAGACCTATTCTACCCCGGATCTTCAGGGGTCATGGGCAGTGTGACAGGGCTTGAGGCCAAAGGTACTAAACATTGTTTCTGGTACACCGGCCTAGCTCAGTTCACTTGGAATTTAACCATTGCCATTTTATCATATCTTATTTTAGACAATTAAAATATTTGGAAAATATTACTGATCATGACTCTGCATGTTACCCGCAACCACTTGTCGTCTGTTCCCGATGTAGGTGGCAGCGCTCTACAGCTCGACTGTGGAGCCGCCTTATAATGATTCACCCCCACTTCCCTATCTTCATGCAGCCGTTTCCGTTTCCTGTTGACCGTGTATCACAGTATAAGTCGGTACTGTGATATTGTCTTGCTCTGTCAACCAGCGTTGACACAACCGGCTTCACCTTATCATTCATGTTGTAAGTGCTGGTCTAGATTCCCTTCTGTTTTGCAGGCAATTTTTCTCTTGGCATGTAATGGCTCGTTTTGATGTTTGGAATGTAATGTGTTCTTTTCAGTGTCAGCTGTTTCATTAGTGAACTTGTCAAACCATACCGCATGCCTTGTTATTATTTCTGTTAGCCCTCATTTTTGAGGGTTTTAATGCTTTCTGTCTTGTTGTTATGTTCATATTTCTGTTTATCATTGATCACATGTGATGTTATCACTGAGAACAAAATAGCATTTCCTGGTACTTACCATTGTGATACTTGACAAAACCATTTCGCCTTTTATCATCCAAAAATATTATTTTATTAAAAGAATATTGTTAAGTTTGTTAAATTCCAATTCAGTAAGGAAATAACATGATTTGGGAATTGGTCACAGATATCGGTATAACTGGAAATGCAATAGAGTTTTCCTTAGCTGGCATCACAGCATTTCGTGTAAGCCGTTCAATGTCTAATCTTTGTATGACTAATCAATCTCAGTCATCTCATTCATTTAGTTTGTTTATCTATTTTGCATCTACTTCTTGTCAGCATGGTCTATTGTAATTTGTACTTAAAAATAAGAGTTTTCTTGAATTCTCATTTCGAAAGAAACAAGAAATTCAAAATGGAGAATTTGTCATCATTTCAAGATGATTGAGAAGTTTTCTGAGAATATTTCTTGAAAGTTTATGAAACAAATTTTATTATTTATGTTGACTGATTATTTCATTTTTGTTTTCCTTTGTTGGCTGTTGCATTTTGTTTGGTTTTTATTTTGTGTGTTTCCTTGTAGCCACTCATTAGTGGGCTCCTTGAAGCGCAGTATGAGCCTCAGTCGACTGAATCGAAAACGAAATCGCCCGAAATCTATTGAACTTGAGCAGCATGTGTTGTGAGTAGTCCCTCTTTAGTTCCGTTTAGTTTTGTTTTGAATTTTGTTGCTGTCAATCCTGCCTCCTGAGTTTTTTGTGTCAATTTGTTTTGCTTGAATGCTTTGCAAATGCTTGGTGGAATAATTACAGAAATGATGATAATTGCGCTGCACAGAAATACTTGGACATGTGCCCTGTTTGTGACACAGAAAATATTAGTAATACATCTGATAATATATGGGTAATACATATGATAATATATGGGTATCTGTCACAATAGGTATAAGCACAATCGGTGTATATGACACTGTGAGTATAAGCACTTGAGACATGTGATAATAGGTGTATATGACACTGTAAGTATAAGCACTTGAGACGTGATAATAGGTGTATATGACACAGTAAGTATAAGCACTTGAGACATGTGATAATAGGTGTATATGACACAGTAAGTATAAGCACTTGAGACATGTGATAATAGGTGTATATTACACTGTAAGTATAAGCACTTGAGACATGTGATGATAGGTGTATATGACACTGTAAGTATAAGCACTTGAGACATGTGACAATAGGTGTATATGACACTGTAAGTATAAGCACTTGAGACATGTGACAATAGGTGTATATGACACTGTGAGTATAAGCACTTGAGACATGTGACAATAGGTGTATATGACACTGTAGGTATAAGCACTTGAGACATGTGACAATAGGTGTATATGACACTGTGAGTATAAGCACTTGAGACATGTGACTATAGGTGTATATGACACCGTAAGTATAAGCACTTAAGACATTTGACAATAGGTGTATATGACACTGTAAGTATAAGCACTTGAGACATGTGACAATAGGTGTACATGACACTGTAAGTATAAGCACTTGAGACATGTGACTATAGGTGTATATGACACTGTAAGTATAAGCACTTGAGACATTTGACAATAGGTGTATATGACACTGAGTATAAGCACTTGAGACATGTGACAATAGGTGTACATGACACTGTAAGTATAAGCACTTGAGACATGTGACTATAGGTGTATATGACACTGTAAGTATAAGCACTTGAGACATGTGACAATAGGTGTATATGACACTGTAAGTATAAGCATTTGAGACATGTGATAATAGGTGTATATTACACAGTAAGTATAAGCACTTAAGATATGTGACAATAGGTGTATATGACACAGTAAGAATAAGCACTTGAGACATGTGAGAATAGGTGTACATGACACTGTAAGTATAAGCACTTGAGACATGTGACAATAGGTGTATATGACACAGTAAGTATAACCACTAGAGACATGTGACAATAGGTGTATATGACACTGTATGTATAAGCTCTTGAGCCATGTGACAATAGGTGTATATGACACTGTAAGTATAAGCACTTGAGACATGTGACAATAGGTGTATAGACACTGTAAGTATAATCACTTGGGACGTGACTATAGGTGTATATGACACTGTAAGTATAAGCTCTTGAGACATGTGATAATAGGTGTATATGACACAGTAAGTATAAGCACTTGAGACATGTGACAATAGGTGTATATGACACAGTAAGTATAAGCACTTGAGACATGTGACAATAGGTGTATATGACACTGTAAGTATAAGCTCTTGAGACATGTGACTATAGGTGTATATGACACTGTAAGTATAAGCTCTTGAGACATGTGATAATAGGTGTATATGACACAGTAAGTATAAGCACTTGAGCCATGTGACAATAGGTGTATATGACACTGTAAGTATAAGCACTTGAGACATGTGATAATAGGTGTATATGACACAGTAAGAATAAGCACTTGAGCCATGTGATAATAGGTGTATATGACACTGTAAGTATAAGCACTTGAGACATGTGATAATAGGTGTATATGACACAGTAAGTATAAGCACTTGAGACATGTGATAATAGGTGTATATGACACTGTAAGTATAAGCACTTGAGACATGTGATAATAGGTGTATATGACACTGTAAGTATAAGCACTTGAGACATGTGATAATAGGTGTATATGACACAGTAAGTGTAAGCACTTGAGCCATGTGATAATAGGTGTATATGACACTGTAAGTATAAGCACTTGAGACATGTGACAATAGGTGTATATGACACTGTAAGTATAAGCACTTGAGACATGTGATAATAGGTGTATATGACACAGTAAGAATAAGCACTTGAGACATTTGATAATAGGTGTATATGACACAGTAAGTATAAGCACTTGAGACATGTGACAATAGGTGTATATGACACTGTAAGTATAAGCACTTGAGACATTTGATAATAGGTGTATTTGACACAGTAAGAATAAGCACTTGAGCCATGTGATAATAGGTGTATATGACACTGTAAGTATAAGCACTTGAGAACATGTGATAATAGGTGTATATGACACAGTAAGAATAAGCACTTGAGCCATGTGATAATAGGTGTATATGACACTGTAAGTATAAGCACTTGAGACATGTGATAATAGGTGTATATGACACAGTAAGTATAAGCACTTGAGACATGTGATAATAGGTGTATATGACACAGTAAGTATAAGCACTTGAGACATGTGACAATAGGTGTATATGACACTGTAAGTATAAGCACTTGAGACATGTGATAATAGGTGTATATGACACAGTAAGAATAAGCACTTGAGCCATGTGATAATAGGTGTATATGACACTGTAAGTATAAGCACTTGAGACATGTGATAATAGGTGTATATGACACAGTAAGTATAAGCACTTGAGACATGTGATAATAGGTGTATATGACACAGTAAGTATAAGCACTTGAGACATGTGATAATAGGTGTACATGACACTGTTAGTATAAGCACTATAGGCGTATATGATGCAGTATGAACAATGACCTATTAGATATATTATAAATTAAATATTGGATGCAGACAGAACTCAAGATAAACTGTATATGATTCTGTTGTTTATGGAAGTACAACCAAATTCTTTCTTGTATGTAAGTCCCGAACACATCCAAATCTTAAATATTCCTGCTGGCTTTTGTACAACAGTCAGAGATTAAAGTTGAGGGAATTTCTTGTTGTGGGTCTGCATGAAGCCTCCTGCTAGTGTGGCAGCAGTTGACGGGGAAATAGTCTTGGTAGCATATGTGTATTTGGCTGGCGTGCAGCTTGTGCACTTGAGATGCATCCCAGGGTGCTGCACATGTGGTCTTGTGTAGCGCTGGGGATGTTGGGCTACAACTAGCTGTCATACATTCATCAACTTCAGGAAACTATTCTCATATATGTAATCATTTTTTTTTTTAAAACTGATGTTCATAGAATGCCTATGGTGTTAATTCTTTCTAATTCATTATTTGATTTACTTAAGAATTCAACTTCAAAGTGTTTGGGAATAAAAATGTTTAATATTTAAAATATGATAATTGCACTGATTTCATGTCAGCTGCACTCAAGAGACACAGAGGGCTTAATTTAGTTATTTCTTGGCCAGAAAATATTTGAATTTCTGAAAACTAAAATTAAATTTAATATATTGGTATTATTGAATTGATTTCTAAATTTCAAAATTGAATTCATACTTGCATGCAAACAATTCTCCAGAAATATCAAAAAATTTTATTTCAAGCTTTTCAGGATGTCACAGAAATGGTGTAAATGTTGTGAATTTGTCTAACACTGCCACATTGTGTCGAGATTGTGCTGGTTGTGTCACTGACCCCCCCCTTGTTTTTCCCTGCAGCCCGTGTGAGTGTGTTGTCAGAACACCCGAGAATGATCATACATGGTAGGAAATTCATCACTTCATCGCCATGGCAACAGAATCTTGTAAAATTATGTACATTGCAGCAAATTTGAGAACAAATCAAATTCTCTCACAAGAATAGCTATTGTTCCAAAATGATAACACAGTAACGTAAGTAATGATAATTGTATTTTATTGTGAGTCAATTACTTTTTAAATATAATTCTTTGTGATACAACATTAAAAATGGTGGGGAATTACTGTTCATGAAAATTCAGCTGTTAGTAAGGGATTTAGTTTAATGATTTTGATGAAATTTGGTGTGTGAATATTTGCAAGATTCTGCAGTCAAGCCTGTATAATGACCAATATTGCATGAGTGGAATGCAAACATGCTTTAACATGAAAACACAAAACTGGACACTGATTGGATGTCTTGAAGTCTTACAGTGCCTGAACATTGCAGTTCATTCAGAGCGGCAATGCCCTACCTGTACAATCAGTGTACTTTCTACAATCTTAATATCATTGATAAATATTATTTTATAAGTTTCAATTGTCCTTAATTCTCCCACATACATGTTTTTGTGATGAAATGAGGATTGAAACGTGCCCAGTTTTGTGTTGATGCGTAGTGTAGAAGCTGCATGCTTTTTCCTGGTTTCACATCTCTCATGCCTTAACATCACATAGACATTGTTAACCTGTTATATCTGAACACAGCAGTGTCGTTAACCTGTTATAGCTGAACACAGCGATGTCGTTAACCTGTTACATCTGAACACAGCAATGTCGTTAACCTGTTACATCTGAACACAGCAGTGTCGTTAACCTGTTAAAGCTGAACACAGCAACGTCGTTAACCTGTTATAACTGAACACAGCAACGTCGTTAATCTCTTATATCTGAATACAGCAACATCGTTAACCTATTATTTCTGAACACAGCAACGTCGTTAACCTGTTAAAGCTGAATACAGCAACGTCGTTAACCTGTTATAACTGAACACAGCAACGTCGTTAATCTCTTATATCTGAATACAGCAACGTCGTTAACCTGTTATTTCTGAACACAGCAACGTCGTTAACCTGTTAAAGCTGAATACAGCAATGTCGTTAACCTCTTATAACTGAACACAGCAACGTCGTTAATCTCTTATATCTGAATACAGCAACGTCGTTAACCTGTTATTTCTGAACACAGCAATTCTGAACACAGCAACGTCGTTAACCTGTTATTTCTGAACACAGCAACTTCGTTAACCTGTTATATCTGAACACAGCAATGTCGTTAACCTGTTACATCTGAACACAGCAACGTCGTTAACCTGTTATGTCTGAACACAGCAACGTCGTTAACCTGTTATGTCTGAACACAGCAACGTCGTTAACCTGTTATGTCTGAACACAGCAACGTCGTTAACCTGTTATGTCTGAACACAGCAACGTCGTTAACCTGTTATGTCTGAACACAGCAACGTCGTTAACCTGTTATGTCTGAACATAGGAATCTGATACTAGATGGGATGATGATAATCCCATGATAAGCAGGAAATGTGCTTATTTATTGTAGCTGTTGTCCTGGTTTGATTCCTAAATTGTGTTCATTTTATACTTCTTTAAGGTCTTCTCTTAGTGATATGCTGCTGTAGAAATGCAAGAGAGACAGTGTTGAACCGCTCACATTGTGTTGTCACTAGATGCTGATGTTGATGATTTCAGTGATAACATTTGTGTGTTGTATTAACATTGTGTGGATAATTGCTGATGTGACTTGGCATGTGGACAGACAATAGCATGATAAGATTGATTCATCATTGGTGTTGTGATGCATAATGACATTTGATGAGGTAGATATGCATTAAGTAGCTGTGACATTTACAGCATGTGTTTACTGCCAGCATGTCAGTAGTGTTAGCCAACATTAACCAGATACACACACCTACGTAAAGCCCTAAGTGCAGACCTTCATGCAGACCTGCGTATGTGCAGACCTACATGCAGACATACTTGCAGACCTGCGTATGTGCAGACCTACATGCAGACATACTTGCAGACCTGCATAGGTGCAGACCTATGTAAAGCCCTACTTGCAGTCCTGCATGCAGACCTACATGCAGACCTACATGCTGACCTACGTGAAGCCTTACAGGCAGACCTATTTGCAGTCCTGCATGCAGACCTGACCTACATGCAGACGTATGTGCAGTCCTACATTCGGACCTATGTAACGCCCTACATGCAGTACTACTTGCACACCTATGGTCAGACCTACATAAAGCCCTACATGCAGAAGTACATGCAGACCTACTTGCAGACCTACTTGCAGACCAACATGCAGCCCTACATGCAGACCTACATGCAAACCTACATGCAAACCTACTTGCAGACTTACATGCAGACCTACTTGCAGACCTACATACAGGCCTTCATGCAGACCTACAAGCAGACCTACTTGCAGACCAACATGCAGACCTACAAGCAGACCTACATGCAGCCCTACATGCAGACCTACTTGCAGCCCTACATGCAGACCTACTTGCAGACCTACATACAGACCTACATGCAGACCTACATGCAGACCTACTTTCAGGCCTACATGCAGACCTACTTGCAGACCTACTTGCAGCCCTACATGCAGCCCTACTTGCAGACCAACATGCAGACCTACATGCAGACCTACATGATTCACTTTATGAACACAGACAGTGAATGTACTCAACATTTCAGGGAACAGTCCTTCAAGACAATGTGTATTTATTTTGAGCTTGTGATTAATTATTTATTTTGAATGATTATTTGTGACAGTTTTAGCTCACTTGAACCAAAGGTTTGAGTCAGCTGATGTCTTGGTGCATTGTCCGTCTTCTCCTCGTCATAAACATCTGTGACATCGGCTCAGTACTTGCTGTGCTGAATTGGTGTATGGAGGATCCAGCAATTATGCCTTTAAGTATTTATGATTTGCATTTGAATTGAACTTGTCAGTGTCTGATTATGAATGAAATCTTTTTCAGCTGTCAAGATAAGTGTGTATAATTAGATCCCATTAAGACTGAAGGTCAATCACTGGATTCTCTGGTCCAGACTTGATTAATTACAGACTCTGTCATATAGCTGGAATGTTGCTGAGTGCAGTGATAAGCAATAAGAAATAAAAAAAAGAAGGTTGAAGAGTCATTGTTACAAAGAGTGAAGGGGAAGAGTAAAGTAGGGTGAAAGATAAGAGTGAGTGAGTGAGTTGGGTTTAATGCCGCTTTTAACAGTATTCCAGTTATATCGCGGCGTGTCAGCTTAATGTGGGAGGAAAGCCCGAAGTGATTCAGGTCTCAGACATTTGCCACTTCGGTGAAACCCACGAGCATGGGTATGGTGCTGACAAACCTAGAAACATAATCGGGGCGAACCGGGATTCGAACCCACAATCATAGGTTTCGCGGCACCTTAGATGACTGTGCCACCCGTGCCCCCCCTGAAAGATAAGAACAACTGTTTGGGGAGCGTACTTGCCCACTGTTCTTGTGTATGACTGTGTGTCTTCTGAAGATTGTTATATATATCAGTGTGTTTGGTTCAGACCCTTCCTTTCATCCCGTCACTGCCTATATGCCAGGGGAGTCATTGGTGCCTGAATATTCTGAGGTGCTGGAATCTCTAAGTTGGGTCCAGAAACTGCTTAACTTGTTGTTGAATCCAAGATTAGTGTTGTGTTAAGATAGACACAATTTTTATGGATAACAACTTCTTTAATACTAGGAAAAGCGACGTTTCGACGTCTATCTTGTCATCCGTCAACTTCTAAGTAATGCCTATCAAACAATTTAGTGTTGTGTTGTGGGAAAACTTGTATGACTTGCATGACTATGGGTTTTTCCCATGTCAATCTGTCATGCCGGGACGTAACTGATTATTATAGTGTGCGCGATTTAACAGATATGCCGGTACCGATCAAGGTGGTGTTTACCAAACTCATTGACTCAGGAAATGTATGGGAAAGTGAAGTTTTGTGATGGTGTTGGTCTTCACTTGAGTGTATGATCAGTTAAGAACCAGTGAAAAAAGTGGCTTGTTGATCTCAGAAATCAAGGACTGTTTCTATAGCACATGGATAAAGTCATACATGTCAAAATACTATTATGCGTGGTTTACGAAAATTTCATGATTTTTTCCCAATATTATTTCATGAGATATTAATGTTATATCCTTGTAATATTTTTTAGTTAGGGGAATGTAAATTTTTAAAAAGGGATTATTAATTCTGAAAGTGAACACTGGGATTGTTAGTTGATGGCTATTAGCTTCATTTCAACACTAGTTCAGGTATTTTGAGAGTAATGGAATCTTGTTATCTCTAGAGCGACCCGACTTGCTGGGGGAGTCTGCACAAAGCCAAAGTAACATTCCAACTGCCATACAAAGAACCACAGCAGTTGTAAAGTGCTATTGTTGCTTTATTCACATGGTCCAAAGCAGGAAGCATTAGGCAATCTTCCTTCCCATCACTTAGGGCACACCAGGACATACAACTGCCATACGAAGACCTACAGTTGTTGTAAAGTGCTATTGTTGCTTTATGCATATAGTCCAACTCAGGAAGGCATTAGACAATCTTCCTTCCCATCAATTAGGGCACACCAGGACATACAACTGCTATACGAAAACCTACAGTTGTTGTAAAGGGCTATTGTTGCTTTATGCATATGGTCCAAGTCAGGAAGCATTAGGCAATCTTCCTTCCCATCAATTAGGGCACACCAGGACATACAACTGCCATACGAAGACCTATAGTTGTTGTAAAGGGCTATTGTTGCTTTATGCATATGGTCCAAGTCAGGAAGCATTAGACAATCTTCCTTTCCATCACTTATGGCACACCAGGACAGCACTGCCTCGCTTCAGCATCTCAGACAAATTGTCTCTCTTGCTGATGTGGAGACAGCCATCATCTCCTTTTAACTAGGATTTTGCCACATCTTTCGGTAATGTTGTGTTATGTAGACAAAGTGTCTGTGTCTTTGGACAAAAGCTGTTTGCTAAGGTCTG